CTCTCTCTCTCTCTCTCTCTCTCTCTCTCTCTCTCTCTCTCTCTCTCTCTCTCCAGTCTTCTCCTCCCTCCCTCACTCCTGCTCTCTCTGTGTCCTGTTGTTTTGAGCTCGTGTGTTCGAGAGTCGAGTCTATCTCTCTTCCCTACACAGCAATCCTGTAAGGGGTGCGGTGGAATCTTGGTGGTGACATGTGTGATGGGGATGAATGCCTTTGTGAACATGTGCAGCACGAGGAGCTGCGGCATCGGCACTTCGGGGACTGTGCAGCGCATCAGCACCACATTTAGCAGCTGCTCGATCACTAGTGCCGTTGATGGGAGCTTGCGAGGAGGCAGCGGCTGCTGCAGTTGCAATGCAGGGAGGTGTTGGGATGCGGGTAGATGAGCGGGTTGCGATCATGGAAGGGCTTGTCGCTGTGGCTGGTGCACTTCCGTTTGCGGAAGCAGAATCTGCACTCGCCAGACTGTCTGGGCCCGCACTGAATGGCATTCAAGCCTGTGCGGCAGCACAGGTAAGCTACTGCCTCTTGCCCCACGTTTGTGACTGAAGTTGTTCCTGTTGTCAGGTGAAAATTTCTATCCTTTCCTGTGCTTGTCAGTTTTTTACTTTTTACGATTAGTACTGCGGACTTGCGAAGCAAATTCTTTGAACCATTTTTGTTTTGTATTATCTGACGTTTATCAAGATATTGGCTGAGCAATGAACTCAATTCGGGATTTTACTTGGATATATAGCTGCTTAGCTGTGATACTAGCTGGCTTGAGTGGTGGTAGTAGCTTTGATCACAGCATAATACCCAACCTTGCTGATTGTGACCTTTTCAATGATTCCTTCCTTCTTGCTCCCCATGTTGCCACTGGGTAATACAATTTATTTCGTCCTGAAGCTGGTGCTTCTCTCAGAATTGAGCATGCACCAGAATGGTCCGTCCTTCTTCTCCACCTATCAAATGCTTTTAAATTTTAATACTGTATTGTTATTTTATAGTACATGTGAATTTTCTGTCTACTGACTGATTCTTGTATTTAACAAATCTTTTGAGATCCGCTGTTGTATTTTTATCATTTGTATTTATTTTTTATTCATTTAATATTAATAAGTATCTATAAGAATTATGTCTCGTAGAAAAATTCCCAGCAGTTGGACCTGTCACTTACTGGCCTAGCTCCGTTGGTACACCCCCTCTGAACTGTTGAAACTTGAAATACAGACCCAAGCTCAAACCTCGAACTCCACTGCAAGCAGTTGAGTAAAATACTACAATTCTGAATTACCTAGGGCCGATCAGTTCGATGATCACATCTCAAGAAAGAAAAAATAAAAAAATACAGTACCCAGGCTCGGTACCACAATTAAAATAAAAAAACAAGAAAAAAAGCAGTTGGACCTGTCCGGGAAATGCCAGTTTTGGATGATGAGGGGAGGAAGCTCGGTGGGCATGCTGTAAACATGCAGTCTGGAAAAATACAGTCTGGGAAAATTGCAAGGCTACAGTTTCACTTTAGATTGGCCCAGTAGTACCCCAGTACCCACCACCCACCCAGCTGCACAGAATGCATCCCTGTGCGATTTGCTAGGTGCTGTTTCTGCATCATCCCCACTGTTTGAAGCAAGATCAAAGACCAACAACACAATTGCATGGACTGCACGGAGCTTCTGTGCAGTTTGCAGGGGGTGCAATATATCTATCCATCCGCACAGTGCCAGGCATGTGCCCCACACAACTGCGTGGTACACATCCATGTGCGACTTGCAGGGTGCAATTTGTGCATCTACACCGCTACAAACATACCTCCCACTCTGCTGCATGAAGTTCGTTCTTGTCCGATTTGGAGGGTGCAATTCCTGCATCCAGTTCCAAGCCGACCACCACACAATTGCATGGAATGCAGCAGCGTTGTGAAGTTCGCAGGGTGCAATTTCTACATCCACATGGTTGCAATCAGTGACATGCATGCCGTGCTGGAATATTATTATGGGTTCACCAAAGCCCTGATGCGCAAAATAAACACTGCAATGCACGGCACACGATGCAGCGCTGCGAGAACTCACTCTGGAAGAATTGCAAGTCTTCGGTCCCGCTTTGAAGTTTAAATTGGCACTGTGGTAATTTGCCAAAAAGAACCACCATGCAAGCACCTGCACAGCTGAGCTTGACGGGCCTTCATGGTATGTACATGGTGGGACTCCAACATCAACATCAGCCACCTGCCAGTAGTTTGGGGTTTAGTAAGAGAGGTGTGACATTCATAGATCACTGTATTGCGTTGTGCATTTTGCGGCTGGACGGGCACAGTTTGGAACAATTGAGGGGCTATGATGCACTTCAAAATGCTGTGAAGAATTCTACTACAGTCTACAAAGCATTACCAACGTGCCTAGCTTAGTTGGTACTACACACACATGAACTGTTGAAACGCAGACCTGAGTTCGAATCCAGATAAAACTAGATGAATGAATGGCATTCTTGAATTATCTGGCCCAGGCAAGTTCCATGATGGTGATATCTCAAAGCTGTCACTCTTTTCAAAAGTTGAGATAAACTGCTGGAAGCCAAGGGTCCAGTTTGAAAGGGGAAAAAAAAGAAAGAAAGAGAAAACTGAGAAAACCGTGGCTTTGATGGACCCTCACCAGATGTGTCTGGATATCAGAATCGATACTCTTTGCACGACAAAAAGAAAAAAGTTCGACTAACTGATATTTATTTGACATCTGCACACCACACCAATCATGTCTCAACAACCATTTTTTGTGCAACTGCCTTACAGTTTCCGGTGCCTGCACGCCCCACTCTGTATTTCATGTCCCGATAACTACCGTCTTCACCCGAGTAGAACGTACAGTCATTATCGCTGCATCTGGACTGAAAGTTGTGTAATGAACCCAGTCTTGAGGATACTCGTCAAGTGTCGAAGTACAAAATATCTCAGCGCTGAACAATGTCTCCAATAATCCTGAATGTGATATCTGAGACAATGTCTCGTATCCAATAAACGAAGAGAGGAGAGGGGGATCGGAGTCATTAGACAGATTAGAAGGTGGAATAGATGGTATCCATCAATGACCACATAGATAGTAGCCCAACATTCCCTCTCCTTCTCCGGGCCTCCCCTCGCCTCCACGTCAGTAAACAGTGTCCAGTAACGAGCCTGACAGGTCCTGATCACATCGAAGTGCCACGTGGCACAGTTCTCCCGTGAAGAAGTTCAGCAGCGTACAGCATCGACATCATCAGCAGGTAAGTATCCGCTCTCTCTCTCAATAATCCACAGATTCCGATCTCACTCCTTGTCGCGTCCAACTCAGCAATGAAGACAGTATGGCCGATGCCACGTCAGCTATGAAGACAGAGTGGCATGTGGCACAGCAGCAATGTCGAAGACAGCGCGGCTTGCGCCACGTCAGCAGAGGCAGGCGCCGAAGCAGGAGGGCGCCAGCATGCAAACAGCAGTTCCGCGTCTTCGTCCACAGTGCCAACGTACAGCCAGCATCAAGCCAGCGTCCAGCCAGCGTCAAGTCAGCGTCAAGTCAGCATAGCAAGACTGAATGTTGACTCCCTGGAGGCCTGTGTTTGACGAGGCTGACCAGCCTCATGTCTTCCACCCACGGTGGCTCAGATTGACTCACAGCTGAGGGCCTGGATTTGTATACAGTTGCAGACTTCCACTTGGCCTGAATGCTGTATTGGTACGTGCATACAAGCAAGTGCGTGTCTGACCGGCGGCCTGGGATGGGTCCATATTGACTTTGACTTGTTCGGCCTCAGGCCTGAAGTCAACTGTCGGGCGCAGGGCCCCTGAATCCACACGTTTGGGGTCCTGCCTCTACATAGTGCGGCCTAGGCCGACGTCGGGCCTGGGGCCCTTAGACAGGTTACGAGGCATAACAAACAGGTTATTGCAGTTGGGCCAAATGCAGCTATAATGACCGGACGTTCTATTCAGGTGAAGACCGTAGAGCTGAGCTGAGGTTGACACTTGCTTTCCCTCTTCTGCTGTTACTTCTCACAAAGTAGTGGTCAAGCTTAGAGCATCAAAAGAATCATCCGTCGAACTAGCAAAGAGGAGCATCTCATCTCCCATCCTCACATGCCTTCCACATGCTGCAGCAGATATACACCATCTTCCGTCCCTTAGATATGTGTATTCAGTACTAATCACTGTACAGTCAGTTCACATGGCCTTCCACAGGTGATGGCACTGCATGTTCCATGCTTTTGTCATGGGGAGAATCACTTCCAAATGGCGATGGACCCTCCCTTATGTTGGTCTCAAAACGACTCTCAGTCAAAGGACGGAGAACTACGCGGGGTCTCCTAAACCACCTCATGCTGACATGGCTGTGCTCTTGTTGACCTCTTGCCTCTTTTCTCATCCCGCGTTTCTGTTTCCGAACTTCCATGGATGTCAATTGTATGTGCAGATAGCGTTAGGAATTTGCAAAACGTCAACTTCTTTCCATGCGCAGCACTCAAACAAACTGAATCGAAGACCATTCTTGAAGTTGGCAATTGGAGAGAAGCTTTACACCAAGCTTACATTGAACAACCACACCAGCACACTTGATGACGAAAAAAAAAAAAGGTGATGTCCACTTGAGGGCCAGGCTGCACTGAGCAGTCTGCAAGAAACTGGACTGACCAGTCTGCAAGAAAGAAACGGCACTAAAAACCTCGCAGAATAGAGGCAGAACAAACATTGGCTATGGCTGCACCCAAAACCTCTCCTCTCCTTTAGCTGCCAAGATTGGCGCTGCCTCTGCTGCTCCTCGCTCCACCAAAATCACGAACTGAAAAATGAATGAACTGTAGCCCTAGCTCGTCACTTTTTGCTATGCCAATTTTGCCGGGGCCTAAAGGATCCTACCGGGCTCTGGCGTAGAGAATTTTAGAGGTCCTATAGGATCCCATAGGGTGCTATGTGTCCAAGATCAGCTAACAGTATGCTTACTTGAAGCTCCCAGGTTCGAATTTGAAAACCTGGAGAAACAAAATAAACACAACTTGTTTTCGTTTCACACTTGGGCCAGGTCTCGGGTTCAAATCCCCCTGACCACGTCATTTTCGGCGAATTTTTCACCGAAACTGGCAAACTGCCATATTTCCCTGAATTTTCGCTTTTTTCTTGTTTTTTTTTTTTTTTTGTCTGACATGTATGTTCTTTAGGGTATATCTGTATTCCGTTTCAACCTAGGCTGGTCCCCGGGCTGCCCGGCGACCTGGGCGTCGCTCGGGGGGTGGGCCGAGCCGCCTGGCCGGTTGCCCCGCCCGGTTGTCCCGCCCGGTTGGCCACCGAGCGACCGCAGCGCATTGCAGAAGGGGGGGGGGGGATTGTCCGATTTCGACGCCGGGGGGCTTTTTCCCCCCACAGGAGGCCCTCCAGGCCGAAGGAGGTAAAAGAACAGGGCCGGTAGGCCCTCCTTCTCGAATCTGAAATCTTGGCCCATATGCGCCGTCGATCTCCAAGATCGACGGCCCAGATGGGCCAAGATTTCGAATTCGAGAAGGCGGGAACTACCGGCCCTCGTCCACTCCCCTGTTACCCCTACCACCTGACGGATCCCTTCGCCAGTGTCGATCGTTGATGACAGCTCCGCCAACGCTGGCCAACGCCTGCCAACGCCCACCAACGCCCGCCAACGCCCGCCGACGCCCGCCATCGCGCGCCACCCCCCTATCGCGCTGAGGTATGGGTTAGTAGTAGTAGTAGTAGTAGTAGGAGAGAGAGAGAGAGAGAGAGAGAGAGAGAGAGAGAGAGAGAGAGAGAGAGAGAGAGAGAGAGAGAGAGAGAGAGAGAGACACTGACGGCTCCCTTCGCCATTGTCGATCGTTGACGACAGCTCCGCCAATGCTGGCCAACGCCTGCCAACGCCCACCAACGCCCGCCAACGCCGCCGACGCCCGCCATCGCGCGCCACCCCCCTATCGCGCTGAGGTATGGGTTAGTAATAGTAGTAGTAGTAGTAGTAGTAGAGAGAGAGAGAGAGAGAGAGAGACCTGTCTCTTATACACA